AAAAAAAAAAAGAAGAGTCCACTGTATTTTTGTCAGTAGTTACCTTTGTGCACATTAAAATCATTACAATTCACTGGATTTTCAACCAGTGTCAAGTGATTTTTAGTTCTGAAAGCATATTCTGATTTCCCATGAGCTCCTTCTGGTCGGTTATAACCCTTGGGGAAAAAAATCATGTTAATGCCCCTGCATTTGGATCCTCTCATTACATCCTGACACTCTGCTGCATTTTTTTTAAACCTGTCTCTGTCAGTCCACCAAACGCCATGAAAAACCGCAGCAACACATTTCTGGAGCAGGCTACACCTTTAAGGTGGAGAAATGAATATTTAGTAAATGGAGTCCACTCGTATAGTGAGTCATTGCGCTCTCATTTGCTTGCACACTCTTAAGTAAGGGTTTTCTTTGAGACAACGAGGTGTGCATGTGTACTTGGAAAGTAGTGTGTTTAAGAAACAAATGACTGTGTGGGAAGTTCCTTCATCTGTGCTAATCCACCCTATATAGTGAGTGCTAGTAGTTGTTCTTTTTTTTTTCAATGAAATCAGTCCACAGTCAAAGCATGTGGTTTATCGTGTGCTCGTATTAGTCCACAGCAACTGACACTGCCCTCAGTGCTTCCCTTTTATCTGACTGATGGAGTAAAATCACACGACTGGACCCCAGAGACCCCCTCCTCCTCCTCCTCCACCTCCCATCCGCGCGGTGATCGGCATTGATACAGCAGCTCCGGTAGGGGCGGGGCAGCACTGCAGCAGTGCGCCTCTCGAGCTGTCTCCGGTAATGTTCCATAGGATACGCACGCCCCGCTCCGCCCCTGCCGCGAGACAGGTGGTCGGACTGTACGCCTTCATCCTCCAGCGCTCCCTGTTAGACTAAGAAGGAGGAAAAAAATCCGTTGACAACAGGGAAAGGGTCGGTCGGCGCGAGCGCGTCCCCGATGGACTTCCAGCGTGTGACCTCGGCGATCACCGGGCGGGCAGCAGGAGAGGGGGGCAACAACGGGAACGCACGAGGAGAGCCCCGGCGATTTACTCCCAAATGTTTTGCAGCGGATTACTCGAGATGCCGTTAGCGGGAGAGGGTGTGCCGACGGGGGAATGAGATGCGCAAGTAAAAAAGTTGACACGATTTCTGGTGGGGATTTTCATCTGCGAGGCGGCGGGATCATTTCTGACTATCCTCCGGGCTGGGAAGTTCCCCTGGGGGGCTTCGTTATGGCTTCAGGCGCCGGTAAGGCTGCACAGCCCCCCGGGCCGGGCTCCGCCGTTAACGGGACTGCGGCAGAGTTCTCCAACATCGAGCAGGAGCTGTACGACTATCAAATGCACAGCAAGATGTGCAAGAAGATCGCTCAGCTCACCAAGGTAAGACCCGCCGGTGACACCGAGAGAGGGAGGGAGGCGCGCCGCCCGGATGTCACTCCTGTCAGGCTGACTGATGATCCGCTGGCTGCCTCACACTCAGACACGGACGGCGCGTCAAAATAAATGAAAATACACATGAAATCCGTAGTTTAAAATAAATAATAATTAAAAAGGATCAGGCTGGTAATAGAAGCTATAAAGTCGGTACATAGGTCTACACGTTTTACATTATCTCGGGATAACGACGGGAAAACTTGGATCAGCTTCGTGACTGACAGCTGCAGATCCCGAGCACCAGACATCAGGCAGCAATTAGAACTGATGCAATTTTAATCAATCAGTAGATTTATGGATTACCTTCACCGTGCATCGCTTTATAATCTGGGCGTTTAGGATATTAAAACAATTCCACAGCTCACTGGGCCAAAGCCCAGGGTGATGCTTCTTTGTCTGACCAACAGAGAGAAAAACGACTCCAAAGGTGTGCTATCAATTAACTGTGGTGTGAAACAGATGAATCCCCACAGTTAATTAACAGCTTGGTACACCAACATGGCATTTCTCTGTGTTTATCAGGGAGTTTAACAGCTGCAGCAGCTGCATGTGAGGATTCACCCTCTCTGTATCTTCACAATAATGCTCACAGAGGCAGGGCATGACCCATGGCTTGTTAAGCTATGACAGTTACTGATGACTGTGCACTTCTCATCTTCCCTTGTGGATGCACCTCTGTGTCTTAAAAAAAAAGGACTTCCTATCATGCACACAGGCCTAGGCAAACAAAGATGACACAGATGAGGGGTCAGCACTTGTGTCTGTGCTTGTTAGGGGAATTCGCCAGCCCCGTCCTTCAACCTCTCGTGGCCCCTCTGTTCCTTTCCACCCTGATTTCCCTCCACAGAAGCCAGGACTTGTTTTTGTCTCCTCTGAAACTTCATGGCATGCCATGCCAGCCCCGCTTTAGCTCTGGGGCGACCACAGTAAATGAAACCCGGAGCACGGCTGAAATATAAGAATCATCGATACACATATTTGGTGTGTTTGGTTTCCCCTGAGCCTTGGGATGCTGGGCATGTGGCACATGGTTTATTTGAGTTGTTTGGGGGGTGGAGAGCAGAGGAGAGGAAGTAGGAAATGGGTCAGCTGTGGTAACCTTATATATTTAATAACCCATATTCTGTGTGCATGGAGGCACACACGCACAAACACACCCGCACATATGGACTTCTACTTAACACACCTCCTCACGTCTGCCTCTCTCTTCCACTCACCCATCCCAACTTGCACAACCC